AGTTAGCAGGTTTTAGTGGGGGTGGGGAGAGAAGCTTGTATTAGTTACTTTTCTACTGCTGTGAGAAAAACACTGACCAAAACAACTTATAGAAGGAAGCGTTTATTTGAGCTTACATTTCCAGAGGTACTAGAGTCCATAAAGGCAGAGAGGCATGGTAGTAGGCAGCAGCCAAAGCAGAAAGCAGAGTGCTAACATCTTCAAGCAGGCACAGGAAACAGAAGGTAACTGGAAGTCCAGCAAGGCTTAAAAACTCTCAATGCCCACTCCCAGTAATGCACTTCCTCCAGCAAGGCCATGCCTCCTAAAGCCTCCCCACACAGTGCTACCAACTGGGAACAAATGTCCAAATACTTGGAGTCTATGGAGGATATTCACATTCAAACCACCACAAATGTCAAAATACTTGGAGCCTATGGGGGACATTCATATTCAAACCACCACAAAGTTCTTCACTGGAGTTTAGTTTGGGACAGGTCTATGACATATATCTGTGTATGTGATGGTAAAGAAATCAACAGGTTATTCAAGTTTAGAATTCAAGGAAGAAGCCTATACTACAGATTCAATTTTGGGAGTCTTTGGCAGATATATGGCATTTAAAAACCACAGACTGTTGGGGTTGGGGATTTAGGTCAGTGGTAGAGCACTTGCCTAGTAAGCACAAGGCTCTGGGTTCGGTCCTCAGCTCGGAAAACAAACAAACAAACAAACAAAACACAGACTGCATGAAATGACCAAGGGGTGAGTGTCAGTGAAAAAACAAATGAGAAAGAAACATGGGATAAAGCCCTCCAATGTTGACAGAAGTTTGGAAGAAGAGAAAAAAAGCAAAGGACACCAAGAAGAAAGAACTACCAATCAGGTAGCCAACAAAGTATGGTTTTCTGGAAACAAGAGAAGAAAAGTTTATGAAGGGGGAACAAATGACCAATTATCACTGGAAAGATGAGGACTGAGAAGTGACCATTATATTCAGTGGCATGGAGGTTACCAGTGACCTTGACAATAGTTTGGATGTAGTGGCAGCCAAAGCTTGAGAGGAAACAATATGAGAGAGAATGAGATGGAGGCTGGAAGAGTCTGGACAATGCTTTCCTTGTAAGGAGAAGCAGATGAATAGATCGATCTCTCTGTGATTGGGGAAGTAATGTCCAAAATTGACTCTTAGTGCTTGTTACTCATATCAGTAATCCGATTTTCAAACACAGCATATTTTGACATGTTATTACTAGATTTAGGAGACCAGAAAAAGGAAGGACTTTACAGTTTAGAAATAAGAGTCAGAGCCAGACCTGCCACAGCCAAGGAATGTATTCCTTTTATTTAAGGAACACAGTAAAGGGCTTCTGCTGTCCTCAGAAAACAGGCATCAGTGAAGAAAGGCAGAGCGATCTAGACTTATACAGGAACTCTGCTGAATGCAGCTGCAGGAATTTGCTCAGTGCCAGCGTCCTTGGGGGTAATTGAGGGTCTTCTTCCTGAGATTATTTTCTCAGGATGAGCAGGCAAGTTATCTTATGGCACCAAAAGGAGATAAATCGGCCCTGTAAACAGTCTCTGTCAGCCTGGAAAGTGATCAGTTGATAAGGCTTGAGCAAAGGCCAAGCTGCCAATTTGGACCAGTTGGCCACCTTGAGGAATTTATGTCTTCCTTTAAGGAAGCTTATGGCTCTCCTGCAATTTACACATTCTACCAGTTATTGTACATGTAACAGTCATACATTAGGCATTATATTATTCTCTTCATTTTATAAAGAAACAGAAAGTCTTAGCATACAAGTAAGTTAGTCTACATTTTCACAGATGGAACTAGAAATCATAGATTAAAAACTCATGTAGATTTAAAGTTAGCATGTTGTAAATCTGAGTGCTGTTCCCAAAGAAAGTTATATAAAACACTCATTGGACGTAGCTTTGTCTCTGTACATGCAAGGCCTTCACTTCAGCCTGTGTCTTTACCAGGACATAGCTTCCACACAATTTCCAAAAACTTTTGTGTTCTTCCTGATGCTTCCATGGTAGGAAGAGGAAGAAGCAAAGGAGACTAAGAGAAAGAACCAATTAGATAGGGAAAACAAGAGAAGAAAGGTTCACAAAATGGAATCAGATGACCAACTATCACTGAAAGATGAGGACAGAAATGACCATTAGGCTCAGTGACTTGGAGGTCACTGGCAACTTTGATAGTAGTTTCTAAGTAAAAATTTAGGCTAATTTATTTTTATGCTGACTTTCTTTATAAAATGAGAATAGTAGTGTCTAATGTATAGTTCTGTTACATGTACAACAGCATGTCAGAATATCTTTGAAATCTATGTCAAGTTCAAATTTGGGGAACTGGAAGAAAACTGTTTAATGACAGAAGCAATTTCAGGTGTCATCAAGAGTAGAGTCTGAACAAAAGCAACTCGTACAGGTATTTGTGCCAGTATGTAGATGAATGGCCTTCTGAATGTATGTGTATGGCCTTAGACACTAAATGTGGGTGTTTGTAGGAGTCAGCCTTCAATGCTCCAAAACTTCAGAAGGGGCCTAGAGTCTTCAGGCCTGTCTGTGTTTTCATATGTTAATGTATGTGGCGTTAATGTATGTTGTGCTTATGCATATGAATCTAAACCATCTTAGGCCCCTAAGAGTCCTTTTGTTCATTAGACAGTTGTAAAATGTCTACTTACATCTTTTTACTAAAATAGCCCCAAAAGCAAAGAACAAAACTTCTGCCTTTCCCAAAGCTAAAGCCAATGTGAAGGTGTTGACTGTCAAAATACCAGTGCTGAAGGGCATCCACAAGCCACAAAAATTAGATCTGCACATCATCTACCTTCCCGTGGCCCAAAATGCTGCAGCCCCAGAGGCAGCTCGAGTACCCTCAGAAGAACAAGCTTGACTACCACAACATCATCTAGTTCCTCCTGACCACTAAGTCAGCCATGGAAAAGATAGAAGACACTTGTGTTCATTGTGGGTATCAAGGCTACCAAATAACAGATGAAACAGGCTGTGAAGAAACTTTATGCCAAATCAATACCTTGATCAGGTCTGCAGAACAAAAGAAGGCATATGTTTGCATTGCTATTGATTTTTATGTTGCCAATAAAACTGGGATTATCTAAACTGAGTTCAGGATAATTATAAATATACATACAAAGTCCTGTACTTGGCACTATGAGATTGAAAGACACCTGTTCTTGTTGTCAAAGAACCTAATTCCAGGTAGGAAGAAAATAATATGTACATATCTAGGTATAACATGAAAAAGGATAAGTTCTACAAAAGAAGTGATGAAATTCTACTCAATTCTAATAAATTCATAAGGGAGTGTCCTTATTCCAATTTGGATAATTAAAGAAAATTCACAAAGGATGTGGCATTTAGGAGTGATCTGAAAAGTGGAGTTTGGATGTGCAAAGTTGGAAACAAGGATATTTCAGAGAGTGATAATGTAAATAAAAATAGGGCTCAGGGGTGGTGGGGATGGCTCAGACAGTAAATTGCTTGCTATACAAGCATGAGGACCCAAATTTGTTCCTCAGCACCCACATAAAAAGCCTTGACCCTGCTGTTAGGGAGTTAGAGGCAGAGGATCCCAGATGGTTTGCTGGTCAGTCTACTTGAATTGGTGAGCTCCAGATTGAGTGAGAGTGAGAGACCCTGTCTCAAAAAATAAAATGAAGAGCAATAGAGGACACCTGATGTTGACCTCTAGCCTCTGTAAGCACACGTGTACATCTGTGCATACCGATGCATATAGGCATACATACATGAACATTACAAATACATGTATACCACGCACGCATAACACACAAAAAAGTAGAGTGTTATGAATGCATAATACAGACAGGAAAACAGTAATACTTAAATTTGACAAAATCTAACTTTCTGATTCCGAATCCTGCCTCAGAATGTAGAGGGTCTATAAAGCTACCATCGTCATTACCCACCCAAGTGGATAACTGCAAAAGAAATGAAATGTGTCTTGATTGTGTATGTTCTTTTACCTAACATATTATTGGTTTTGATGATATAGTCATAAAAACATTACTGAATTCACAGCGCACTGTTATTATATATTTCTTAAATCAATAAGCACTAATGTCACAACTGTTATAATAAATGAGTCCAAGAAAATTTTCAGTGGAACAAAGGAGTTGTGGCCAGGCATGGAGGTACATGTCTCTAATGCCAGCACAGAACTAGGATGCTCAAACAGGAGGATACCTAGGTGAGGCCAGACTAGGCTACCCAGCCAGAAACCACACACACACACACACAAAAAAAAACAAGCCTATTTTTAAAAGTATATGGATTCTAAGATTAGATAAACCTTTATCTGAACTGTATCATTAATTAGATGCCTGGTAAGGAGAAAGTCTGAATCAGCTTATCTGTAAAGTTGGAATTAAAAAAACTTGCTTGGTTTCACAATTAGAAAACCTTATGTTGCATATTTAATGAACAGCAAGTGCCACATATTGTAAAAAGAAAAGCTGAGGTCAAATACCAAATGATTGCTACCAAAGGCTTTTTGTATGAACATCAGGGAAACCAAGAGCAAGTTGTTGCAGTGGTCCAGATGAGACAAACCGAAGAACTGGCAGGGAACTTCCAAAATATATTCTTTTCTTTGCATTTGCAAAGTCCACTATTTTGATCTACATGTTTGATTCAACAAAAAGTAAGCAGATATTCAAACTGGACATTTTGAGTTTAAATCTTAAAATTACTGACTGAGCAAAAAACAGCAAACATGAATTTTATCCATTTTCTTTAAATCTGCAACTTTAAAAAAACAAACTTTTAACGACCTACCCCCCCCCAACCCCCTAACCCTTGCCGGGCATAGTGGTGCACACCTTTAATCCCAGCACTCAGGCACATAGATCTCTTGGGAGATAGAGGCCAGCCTGGTCTACATATTGAGCTCCAGGCCAGCTGGGGCTATAGAAGATCCAGTCGTTAAAAAAAATCTCACTTTTATTTGTGTGTGTGTAACAGATGCCTAAGGAGGCCGGAAGAGGGCGTCGGATCCTCTGGAGCAAGTGTTGTGAGATGCCAGCAGTGGGTGCTGGGAACCGATCTCCACTCTTCTGCAAGGGCAAGTTCTCTCAACCACTGAGACATCTCTCCAGGCCCAAGACCTTACCTTTTGTAACCATAGCATAATCCATTATAGGGTCACACTATACTATGCCTTTTGGACCTAGGTTACTCTAACTCCCAGCAGGCCCCATTTGGGCGACACGTCACCATGTTGCGGAAAGGGCTCCTGCGTCTGCGCGACTTTACGTCATCACTAACGCGACGGGGGCGGGGCGACTCCCGGTAGTGCCCTTGCCCGCCCCCTAGTGGCGGCCAGTTGCGCCTGAGGCTGTGTGCGGTCTGGTGGCTCACTTTCTTAGGCAAGTCTGGGCTGGTGAGTGCGCCAACTTCCGGCAGGCGAAACACCAGGCGAGCCGCGGGTCGTCTGGAGGTGAGGTTGAGGGACCCCTGCGCTGGCCGCCTGGCCTTGACACCGCCTCTCGGCCGCCATGGCGGAGAAGCAGCAGGTCTTGGCCCAGAAGCCGGTTCCCAGCGGTAGGGTAGCCGCCGCTGCAGAACCTGAAGTGCCCTCGCCCGGGACCTCGAAGGTCGCTGCAAACCCCTCGGAGCCCGGGGACTACGACAGCAACTGCGTGTTCTGTCGCATCGCTGGGCAGCAGGAACCCGACACGGAGCTCCTGCACTGCGAGGTGGGCGGCGACAGGCCCGGATGGGTGGAGACCCAACTGCTGCTCGCAGCTTAGTTGCAGGGTGAAGCTGCTTCTGCCTGGGAACCCCTAATGTCTGCAGCGTGCCTTTGCTTCTGGGCAGGGAGCGAGGGTAGTGACACGCCAGGTTCCCCAGTTTCTCTCTGCGTGCATTTGCAGTAAAGCAGCACTTTGTGCCCGTTCATCACAGGGAGTCTTTTCTAAATAGTGATTTAAAAACTCTGCACACTTCTAATACCGAAACAGAGGCGAAAAGTCGCAGAAAACAATGGTAGTTGTGAAAAAGTGTCAGTTTGGCTGAAAATAGGCTGGGATGGGGTGGGGAGAGTGGTTTGAAGTCTGTTATTAGCTCCCAATTTCCCAACAGCAGAGATGTGCGGGAATGGATTTCAGAGACTTAAGACTTCGCCCAAATATTTTTAAACAGATAGTTGGTGTACTTTTGTCACACCTGTTCCACTTATTTTTAAAGAAACTTTCTGAGAGAATCAGCTTCACAGATTGTGTAAGAATCGTTCATTAATTTGGTAAAAGTAAATCCAGTTATGCACCTGGTTTTGGAGTCAGTGAGTAGACAAGATGAAAGGTCATTCTTAAGATTTCATAATGTTAAAAGGTGGGTCGAATATAGACGAGGAAGCCAGTTGCTTGTGGTGCTGTCAGGTGGATTTACAGTATTTTGTAAGCAGGTGGGAGGGGCACCTAACGATAGTCTAAGAGACTAGAAGTTTTTCAGATATATAACAGAAGATGGCCGGGTGGGAGTAGGGGGAGAATGTCCCCGGTGGAGAGAAACTCTAGTCCTACTTGTGTCATAAGGAAGCTGACCAAAACCGTGTGGCCCAGACAGATCTTTGTCTAATGTGGTCCAAAGGCAAGACAGCCCTGGTCTAACTGGAATGTGGAGTTTGAAGGAATGAGTGATGCAAGATGAGAGGGCAGAGAACAGAGGGTCAGATCATTGAATGTTGAAATTCACGTTAAGGAGTTTTGACTCAGGATGAATAGTTAAATGAGACACTCAAATATCTAATGCTGTAAGCTTGTTAGGAAGGGGTTGAGAAGATACTGGGCTGGTTTTGATGCTTGAAAGATCTTTCTGTCATTATGGAGGACGACTTGTAGCTGACCAGATAGATGGGTCTGGAGGTGTGGCAGCCTGTTAGGAAGATAACTGAAGTAATTTAACTTGAAGTAAGAATGTGAGAGCTGGGGTGAAACAAAAATAGATCACTTTAAGAAATGTTTAGGGGATAAAACATGTAGGACTTTCCAAATTGGACCAGAGGCTCTCCATTGGGGCCAGTATTGCTTTCCAGGGGATTTTTAGCAATCTCTTGAATATTTTAGGTTTTTTGAATATTTATGTGTGTTGTGGCATGAGGTAGGGGATGCTGCTACTGCAGTTGGGTAGGCAGAGACGGGAGTTAACATCATTCTGTGCACTGGACTGCTCCTCACAGCAAAGAATTACCTGCTGCCAAACTCAATAACACCAAGTTAGTTAAGAAATCATGGTATGTAGGAGAATTAGAAGAGCAACAGCCTGAGTTCAGGCAAGTGGACAGTTGTGGTAACTCGGGTTTGCCATGTGGTTTATAAAAATGCAGTGGGACAAAGTTAAGAATTCATGGCAAGAGAGTGGCTGAAGGGATAAAGCCATGGAGTTCATACTGGGAAGTGGGGAGAATGCAGCTGGTGGAAGGATACTGGTGGAATGTGCAGCTCTTGTACAAGTGATCACAGTTGCTGTGATTTCAAGAGTGCAACCAACATGTTTTCTTGGTAAGTCAGCATTCCACACTGTTCCCCCTTCCTCTGCTCATATATCCTCTCTGCCCCATCTTCTTTCATAAAGAATATTTTTAGAGGAACTAATCCATCTAGCATTTAATTTTTTCGTTACATATATGCCTATATAATGTATTCACATATTCATCATATGTATTCATGTAAACACCTAGAAACTATTGGGCTTATATCAGGTGTGGGATGCTTATAATTAAGTACAGAGGAGATTATTTGATTTGGAGTAAATGGAGTTATCAGTATCATGTGGGATTTGTTTGGGAAACCTTTCCAAAAAAAGTTTAAGATAATTCCTCACCATAGATCTCTATATAACATTGTCTTATTGTATTTTGCAGAGTTTAGTTAAGCAAAGGCTATACCATGCATTCTTAGCAGGGGACATGTCAGTTGCAAGGGCAGTATCTTACCTTTTTTATGTATGAAGTACAGATATACGTAAATACATAAATGGATACATATAGCTGTGATACTAATATCTCATGATATTGGGTCAGACATGGTAAGGCACATCTTTACTTCCAGCATTCAGGAGGCAGAGGCAGGTGGATCTCTGTGAGTTTGAGGACAGCCTCATCTACATAGTGAATTCCAGGCCAGCCAGGTCTGCATAGTGAGACCGTCTCAAAAAAAAAAAAACCAAAAAACCCAATATCTCACGATACTGATATAAATTATCTTTAAATGCTTTTAAAGTGGTAAAATAGAAATGGAATAACCATTTGAGAAACACTGCATTAAATTTCACCATGCTTGAGCTCATACTAAGGAAATATCTCAGTGCTAATGTGACTTCCCCTTCTTTAATCAAAATTGTCTTAGATAGCATGCTACTGAAATTTTTTTTCAAATGCACTTGACTGTTTGCTTTAGATAATCAGGGTGCAGTTGCTATAAAGGAACTATTCTAGCTATTTTGATAAACATTTTAAGGAATTGTTAGAAAAAAAAATCATTGAAAGGGTGGGAGGAGTAAGTTCTAGAATAGTCTGTAGGAATTACAACCAGAATAGCATTGTAGAACCTTATACAAAATAGCTAAATCACTTTTCTACTCCTTGCTTTTTTTAAAAAAAAATTCAGAGTCTATCATGGAAATAATTTCATCAGTATATAAGGATCTTTCACATTTCTTTTCATAGATCTGGGTGTGGTGGCAGGAGCAGGAGAATCTCTGTGAGATCAAGGCCAGCCTGATCTACATAGCAAGTTCCAGGCCAGCTGGGGCTACAGGGAGACCCTGTCTCAAAACAAAACACAAGTTTCTTTTTATAGATATTCAGTACTTCATTGTATAGTTTTACCATAATTTATTTAACCAACATTTTAGTTGAGTTATGGACGACATTTGGGTTCAGTTTTTTTGCTGTCATAAGTCATGCTGCAAAGAAAAACTGTGGGCTAGGGTATAGCTCAGTGGCAAAATACTTGCCGAGAATTTGTGAGGCCCTGAGTTTGATATCCAGCACTTGAAAAATTAAAAAGAATATATATACATATAGTCTCATATTTTTAGCAACACGTCTTTGGAAAAGGAGGATAGTGTTTCTGGAAATGAGAATCTGAATCATGGCTGAGGTCAGTAGTAGCAATGGAAGACTGCATGATAGCACAGAACCAGTTTCTATACTTTAAAATCATGGAGGAAATCTAATTCACAGCAAAGGCTACCTAAAACATTAGATTTCTTTGCTTTTAAATTAGAAAACAATTCTGTTGTGTGCACGTGGTGTTTGTGTATATGTGTGTATACACACGTGGAAGCCAAAGATCAACACTAGGTGTCTTCCTCTGTTGCTCAACACCTTATTTTTGAGACAGGGTCTCTCACTGAATCTGAAACTTGTGGATTTGACTAGACTCAGTGGTTGAGCCTCCAGGACCCTCCTGTCTTCATCTCCCAGCATTGTCATACCTGGCTGTTTATGTAGGTGTTGGAGCCCTGAACACTAACCCACTGAACCATTTCCCAGCCTAGGTTTCTTTGCTTTTGAAAAAAAATTTTTTTAATTGAATTTTTCCAATACATTTTGATCATATTTAGATCCCTCCCCATCCACATCTCTTACTACTCTCTTCCCAATTCAATATACTTTGTAACTATATATATATATATTCAAATTTGTGTCTCCAAATGACTTTCAGTTTGGGTCTATCCACTGAAGCCTGGTTAACTTACTAAGAGTCCCATCCTTGAAAGAGACTGTGTCTCGCCCTCCCAGCAGCCATGGATTGCCAATAGTTCCTCAGGTAGGGTTGGGGTTTCTTACCCATTTCCCCATGTCTGTGTTGGAATTTTGCTTTGACAAGAATTTTATCTTATCCTTTTCCAAATATTCTATAGATATCAATGTTTAAATTTAATACTTAGAAAGACCATAATAAAATGGATCAAAATTTATGATTGTTGTGCTTATTAGGATAACTAAGAACAACTAAGATTACTAGTGTGGGTATGAGGTCCTTATTCAAGTTGAATTCTGACTCCTGGAATGGAGAATTGATGAGCAATGTACGCTCAGGGAATTTTGCTGAGAGAAGCTATGTTTGTTGATTTTGATTTGATTTGATTTGATTTTAATTTTGAGTAATAGGATGGGAAAATGAATAATGAAATTAAAACAGATTTTGGTAATGAAATTTCAGTGAATTTTACTCATAATTGTTTCTTGAAATTGACTTTATGTGATATTTTGTTCTTTGGAATAAGTATCTCATGACAGAATCTGAAGCTTGTTTTTATAAACTTTAGGTACAATCATAAAATTACTCAATAGGCCTGAATTGTAACATAACCCCCTACGCCCCTTTCACAGATTTATAGTCCCACCAGAATAATGTTAGGAAATTAATTTTAAAATTCATTAACAAATGTGCTTTTCTCTTCAGAATGAAGATCTAGTTTGCTTCAAAGATATCAAACCAGCAGCACTCCATCATTACCTTGTGGTACCAAAGAAGCATATTAGAAACTACAAAGAACTAAACACAGATCAGATAGAATTGGGTAAGATGATGGCAGTCTTCTTATATCATCTTGAACTGGCTTTGGCCTTGGCAGTGATGATTAAAGAGAAACATCCAGTCAGGTATTGTCAAAAAGAACAGTAGGACTTTTTGAAACTTTCCATTGTAAGACATCAAGTAGACCCAAAAAATGAAACAATATAACCCTCATGTATTTGTCATACTACCTTCATTGTTTACTAACTTGTGGCCAGTCTTTTATCATAGATTAACCTTCCAGAGTGGATTTGAAGTAAATTCCAAGCATCTTATTTAATCATTAAAATCTCTAGGAGAGGGAGCTAGAGAGATGGCTCGGGGGTTAAGAGCACTTGGCTGCTCTTGCAGAGCAGGTTCAGTTCCCAGCACCTATGTGGGTGGCTAACAACTCTTTGTAACTCCAGTTCCAGGGATATGATGCCCTCTTTTGACCTCTGTGGGAATTGCATGACATGGGTTCACTTCCATACATGCAGGAAATACACTCGTACACATAATAAAAAATAATAAATAAAATATTTTTTAAAAGTCTGTAGGAGATAGTGAATGGTATTTTTTTTTAAATAATGCTTTTCTTGACTCTAAAATGAAAAGATGCTATGAAAAATAACAACTTGTGGTATAGCATGTGAGCTTATATTGCCTGATAGTCCTGTTTATGCCTGCCTGATAATCTCAAATGCAGATAAATTAGTACCAGAGTTTAAGAGATTTTAATGTTGAGTTTTTATGCTTCTGAGAAGATGATTCTGAGTTTTGTTTTCCCACTCATGGCTCCCGTGACTGCTCAGATATCTTTTCCTAAAACATTTTTCAGTTCACTCCCAATCTGTTTAGTAGGCTTTATCACAGGGTCTTAGATTAGTTTTGTCAGTACTGTAAGGTAGGCTACAATATATGGAAAGGGGGCCAGACTTTTAAAAGGTAGCTAAGAATACAGTTCATGAACATATAGGTGTCAGAATTACCAGTTTTAAACTTGATTCTAAATACTACAAAGCTCTTTATTCATCTGAAGTTCTATCACTGTGTTTGAGAACATTTGTGATTTATAATCACAAGATCACTTAGGTTTATAGATATAATATTTAAACTAAATTTACCTGACTTACTGATTGTTAGTTACTGTATGATTCTATGTAATTCTTTTGGTTATATCTTAGAGAAATATTTTAGCTCCTTTGGAAGTTTCATTTTCTCTTCAAGGTGGAGTTAGGTTGGTGGAGAATAGACACTGCTGTAATAACTAGTTTTCGTAAGTATTGCATATTAGATTTTGAAGTTGATTTGGGATTTCATTATATTGCTTTTTATGCTTTTATTTCAGTATTTTCATATCAAGTTTAAAAGTTGTTGTAATTACCTTTTACATTTTCTATAAGTAATAGAAATAAAAATCACATGGCAGAGCTTGATAACACTGCCATACCCAGTGACTATTATTTGTAGAACTCCACTTAGTTGCAGAATACATGTTTTTTAAGAACATATGCTCACCAAGGTACATTAAAATATAGCTTGTCATATTTCTTTTTGTTTTGTTTCGTTAAGACAGAGTCACTTTAGCTGGCCTGAAACTCATCCCAGGCTGGCCTCAATCTCATCTCAGGCTGGCCTCAGTGTCATCCCTGGCTGGCCTCAAGGTCACAACTTCCTCCTTGCCTCTGCCTCCTGAGTACTGGGCACCATACCCCTCAAAGCTTGCCACATTTCATGTGCTTGAAGTCTTCCAGAATTTATTATATGACGACAGTAGAATGAGGTTAGATATTTAGCATAGCAGTAAATTTATTTTATTTTGAAATAAATTTAAAATTTTTATTTAATTTTTTTAGCAGTAAATATTTTTAAATTAAACAGATTTCTAAATAGTTACTAAGGGACTGGAAAGATGTCTCAGCAGTTATGAGCACTAGCTGCTCTTGCAAAGGACCAAGGTTCTGTTCCCAGCACCCTCATGGCAGCTAACAACCATCTGTAACTACTACAGTTCCAGGGGATCTGACACCCTCTTCTGGCCTCTTTGGGCATTGCACAACATGGGTGCACTTATATACATGCAGCAAAACACATGTTGAAAAAATTAAATCAACTAAATAGCTACTAAGTAAATATATAGAAGATATTTTTAAACTAAATAATACTTTTTGAGGGCTGGAGAGATGGCTGAGAAGTTAAGAGCACTGACTGCTCTTGCAGAGGACCTGGGTTAAATTCTCAGCACCCACATGGCTGCTAACAATTGCCTGTTACTCCAGGTCTAGGGCATCTGATGGCTTCTTCTGACCTCTGTGGACATTATATGACATGGGTGTACTTACATGCATACAGGTAATACACTCATACACATAAAATAAAAATAATAAAATATTTTTTAAATAACACTTTTCTAAATCCTAAATAAATTTTAAAAGACAATATTTTGGATTGCTAAATAAATATGCAACATATTAATATCTGTGGGATGCAACTAAAGCAGTTCCTAGAAGGAAATTTGTAGGCTTAAGTGCTCATATTAAAAAGTGAGTTTTAAGGAGCTGGAGAGATGGCTCAGTGGGTAAGCATGCTCACTGCTTTTCCAGAGGACCCAAGTTTGCTTCCCAGCATCTGTGTTGGGTGGCTTGTAATTGTCTGTAACTCCTGCTCCAAGGGATCTGATACCCTCTTCTGGCATCTGTGAGCACCTGCACACATGTAATATACATATACACAGACATACACACACACACACACACACACACACACACACACACACACTCACACACACACACAAATAAAAATCTTTTAAAAAGGAAGAGAGTTTTAAAATCAGTGATTTCAGTGTCCACTTTTAAATACCAGAAAAAGGCAAATTAAGCTCATGTTAGTATCCAAGAGGAAATAAAAAATTTAGTGAGCTTAATATATCCATAGTATAATGTAGTTTCTTTCCTGTTTTATAGTTAAGAACATGGTAGCTGTTGGAAATGCTATTCTTGAAAAGAATAATTTCACTGACTTCACAGATGTGAGGTATGTATGCTTTGGGTAGAAATCAACACATATTATTGACTTTTCTGAAATTTGTCTTTCATGAGAAGAGATGCATCAGTGGCAGATTCGTTCTTTAAATGCGGTATTCCTGAAAGTGAGACACCTCAGCATCTGAATACCTTCACTTGTAGTTTGGACAGAATAGCAAGTACATATAGTGGATAGGTAAAACAGTGTAAGTCTTCTGTGGTGGTGTTTGTTGTTGTTGTATGTGTTGATTCATACAAAATTGTGGCTAAAGGGTATTTTCTTAGACAAATATATGATTTAAAAATGCATTAATGGGGATAGGGAAATGGTTCAGTAGTAAGAGAATTTGCACTACAAGCCTGAGGACCTGAATTTGAGACCCCAGAACCCAAGTAACAAGCCAGGCATAGCTGCATGCTTGCCTGTAACCCTAGCTCTGTTAGGGGCAGAGACAGGAAGATCTCTGGGGCTTGCTGGCTGCCAGCCTGGCTCCAGGTTTACTGGAGGATCTGGATTCAAAAGTATAAGGCAGAGAGTGGTAGATCTGGACATCAAATGTCCTCCTCTGGCCTCTGAGTGCACCGCACACCTGTGTACATACCATACACACATGCACTCCTCCCCTTGTTACTCTCACTCTCTCTATTACTAGATTTCCAGAATAAAATTAACTTGAATTGTTGGGTGAACTGAACTACAATTTAACAAAGTTCAACTGATTTTTAAGAGGTTATATCATAGTTTAGATACATTTTTATTTAAAAGAATCATCTTAATACATGTTTTATAAAGCAAACAGTTATGAATATATTCCATCTAAATTACCTTTATTATTTAACAAGAAATTTATATGATGATAGTAGTTTTTTTTTTTTAATGATGGTATGATTGCTTGTTGGAATGACTTTTATTAATGGACATAATCTGGACTAATGACTTGTAATTAACCCCAGCAAAACCATGCATTTGCTGTTAGGTCAGATGACTAGGGTATCTCCCTGGCAACCTCAATTTGGTACTCCATTCTAAGATAATGGATGACTATGAGTATGCTTGAGAATTAACATACCAAAGCACTGCAAGGCACACCCACCTACTGGTAACTGCAGAGGTTGGGAAGAAGTGTGACCTTGGATGAATTGAGGTACTAGGAATGGTCTATTGAGATAAGGGTGGAGCTGAAGCTGGAGAAAACATTTTGAATAAAATTTGGGTGGGCAGTGGAGGTGTACAACATACACAGGAGTGGGACAGGGACAGAGAACAGGTATACCACACCATGGAGGCAACAGAGTTCCAGAGTCACTTCCGTCAGCATTGGGTGAGGACACAGACAGCTCCATCTGCACGTGCTGAGGGGATGAGAGATCCATCAGCACAGTTCTGGGAGACAGCCAGTTCTAATAGATGGCTAGGGGAACAAGTGTCCCTCGAGCTTGGGGTTTGGGCCTACTTAAGAATCAGGCTTTTATTTTGTTCGGGATAGTTGTAATGTTGGTGTAGTAAGACCCACATTTGCTCTTATTACTGAAATATTGTTGGTTACTTAAATGTCCCCACTTTATTAAAGGTGAAAGCCTGCCATCTACTGGAAAGGTCTTGGACTAAAGGAACACAGCTACTTGACTATCCAGTAGATTTGTTTTGACATTCATTACAGGGTCCTAACTTCACAAAATTAAAGCTTAATATGATAAGGACTGGCATGATTAAAAAGGATGTCAACTCACACTTTCTAAAGGTTGTACTGAGGTATAACATGCTGTTAAGACTTTCTTTGATAAAAGGTTTATATTACTGTGAATTTCAACATGAAGAGGAACTATGGGAATACTCGAATACATAAAGAAAATAATAAAAGATCTATGAATGGTGATTTGTCTTACTTTGGATATCTTTAATGTTTGTATGATTAAACATGAAAAGGAATTAAAAATCTGGAAAAGTGATTTATCAGTTATCTCTTATTTGTTTCAGGATGGGTTTCCATAAGCCTCCATTCTGTTCCATTTCTCATCTACACCTTCATGTTATAGCTCCAGTCAAACAGTTTGGCTTCTTATCAAAGTTGGTTTATAGACCAGATTCCTTTTGGTTCATCACAGTAAGTAATATTGTTATACTAGCAACATAACAATACATTTAAAGTATTTATCCTTTTTGTTAGTTTTTCTTTTCTTGACAACATTAGTCACACACACAGCTCTCTTAATCTTGACCACCCATTTTAACAAATTGCTTATACACAACCAGAAAATGTATACATATATTTACTTTTTTTTTTTTTGTCTTTGTGAGACATGTCTCCCTGTAGCTCCAGCTGGCCTTGAACTCACAGAGCTCTGCCTGCCTCTGCCTCCTGAGTGCTGGGATTAAAGGTGTGTGCCACCATGCCCAGCTATATTTACTTTTTATTTATTTATTGGTGATAATGATTGAATCAGGGTCTCATTATGCTAGTAGGCAACACTTTCTTCTACTGAGTTATAACTGAAGCCACTCCCTCAACCCCTGTCCTTTTTGATTTTATGACAATGTCTTGCTATGTCACTCATATTGGCCTTGAACTTGAAGTCTTCCTATCTCAGTTTTCTAAGGAGCCAAGATTACAGTTACATGCTACAATTCCCAATTCCAAATAATATTTTTAATTTGGGGGATTTTTTTTTATGTGGTATGATCTGTAGTAAGAGAAGCTATGAATAAACCTTTGTAATCAGGACACACACACACACACACATACATACATACACATATATACATATACATACATATATATAAGAGCACTGGCTTTATATATCAGAATATCAAGAATTCAGATCTGTCTCAGAACAGACAAAATGACCTAAGAATTCAGAAATGTCTATAAATTCTGGCTCCACGTGCTACCTGAAAGACTACATACAAATTACTTTCATTTTTAAAGACTCATTTTTTTTTGTTTGAAGTACTGAGGGTTGAGTGCAATTCAATATTCTTGTATATCCTCTGCTTGTACACACACAGTCTTCCCCCTTATTGTCCCCACCACAGTGGTACACCTACAATCAGAGGACCAACACTGACACATCATCATTATCCAAAGTCCTTGGTTTACCTTAGGATCCACTCTTGGTGTTGTACATTCTATAGGCTTTGACACATGTCTAATGATATGTCATACAGAATAATTCCCCTAAAAATCCTCTGTGCTTTACCTGTTCATCTCACCCTCCCCTCTTGTCCTTAGCTACCACTAATCTTTTTATGTCTTCAAAATTTCTACTCTTCAGAATGTCTTATAATTGGAATCACATAGTATGTAACTTAAGATTCACTTACATCATTTAGTAAAGTATACTTGTTTCTTCAATGTCTAGTTTATTTTAAAAACTTTTATTGAGTACCTTTATTATAGTTTATAAAACTATTATATTTTCTTTTTGTAAGATTTTTTTTCATTTAAAAAATTTATTTATTTTGTATGTATGAGTGTCTTGCGTGCATGTATGTAAGTGCACCCATGTCATGGAATGCCTGTGGAGGCCAGAAGAGGATGTTGGATCCCCTGGAACTAGAGTTAAGAATGGTTTAGCCACCATGTGGGTACTGGGAACCAAACCCTGGGTCCTCTGCAAGAACAGCCAGTTCTCTTAACAGCTGAGCCATCTATCCAACCCCTTGTAAGATTTTTTTTCTGGTTTTTTGAAAAAGAGTCTCCCTGTAGCCTCAGCTTGCCTGGAACTTGCTATGTAGACCAGGCTGGCCTTGATCTCACAGAAATTCATCTGCCTTTGCCTCCCAAGTGCTAGGGTTAAAGGCATGTGCAGCCATGCCCAGATACTTGTAAGAGACATTTAAAAACAAAATATGTAGGTCATTGCTCTTTTGGTTTCACTTACTATAATAGGAATGCCAAGAGAATTATTTGGGAGGCAGTGATATGTAGAATTAAAACATATGCCTTTTTATCTTTTAATTTCAGGCTGAATATTTGCTTGAAATGCTAAGAAAATAAAAATGTGAACAGAGGAAGGTTTTCCTAACCTGGTTCAGCATGAGCTACTATTGGCTCTTTGAAGTCTAACTGCAATTGGAAGGTTTGCTGAGTTTTATATGACATTACTACTGAGCAGCCTTACATCTTTTCTGAATGTCTATTTTCTGAGATCTGTAATATAGTTATATGGATACTTTTTCATTGACTTAATTGTTTTAATGCTTATTTATGTAATGGTTTTATTAAGATACCATAGCTGAAAGTTCATTTAATACAAATTGTGTTAAAATGCATACTATATTTTTTAAAGTTCAAATTTCACTACTTACTGTTCTTAATAATGATTTATTTATAATGAATATACTGGCATTGAAAGTTGGAATTTTAAAATTTTAAAATTTCTTTTTATTTTTATTTTATGTGTATGCGTGTATTGCCTGCATGTAGCTAAGTACACCGGTGTTGTGCAATGCCTGCAGAAGACAGAAGAGGCTGCTGGATCCCCTGGAACTGGAGTTACAGACAGCTGTTAGCTGCTATGTGGGTGCTGGGATTCGAACCCAGGTCTTCTGTAAGAACAGTCAGTGTTCTTAGCCACTGAGCCATCTCTCCAGGCCCCCAAAGTTGGAATTCTTATTGTTGTGCAAGAGATAAAGAAATTAGCTATTTCCTGATAGGTCTATAGTTTTACACATAAGTTTTCAAAATAAAAAATGCCATACTACCCAGTATTCTCTGATCTTCCTGATGGAAACAGTGAAATATGTGTCACTTTTCACTCATTTCAGAAACTGGTTTCTACAAATATATGTATGCATAGACATACATATAATATACCCTTAGTCTTTTGGGAAGACACCCTCTAAGTCTTTTAGTGCGTACTTGAAACCCAGGCTAATACCACACCCTATCCCATTTCCCCCCTATATATACATACCTGTGATAAAGTATAATTTATAACTTAGGCATAGTAAGAGATTCATAACAATACTAATAAAACAATTATAAGAGTATACTTTAATAATATTGCCAGTGTCAGTATTGTGTTTTGATGCCATTAAATTAAATACAAGTACTATAATACTATGACAGTTAATCTGATAATTGGGATGTTACTATAGGTGAGTAGTATGTACAGACAGTATAGATGATTCATATTCCCAGTGGGATTGAGTGGGATGGTGTGAGAGTTCATCTTTTAATTTAGAGTTGCATGTAATTTAAAAATGCATGAATTGTTTATTTCTAGAGTTTTATTTAATATTTTCAATTAACTACAGGTAACTAAAACAATGGAAATTTAGGCCTCAGAAAGTGAAACCTTAGCTAAGAGAGACCTCCTTTAATGTGTAATTTTTAATGAGAATTTATAGTAATAAGCAATTTGGTTATCTTATCAGAATTTATGTGCAGTTTTACCTATAAGGACATAAAGAAGGAAGAAACATAAATTAGTAATAGTAAGAATGACAGAAACTGTTGCCGTATGGTTTGTTTTTGTATCAAATGAAAATAAAAAGGGGTTAGACCTAGCTTTTGTTATGAAACAGAACTGATTTGAAAGTAGAAATAGATGTAGATGAGGAAATTCATTTTAATAGATATTGTTGATGTTTTTGGTATGTCACTTCATGAAGAATGTTTATTAAGAATTGCCTTTTGGTATCTACAGGCACGTAGTGAATGTGAATGCAGACTAGGTACTGGAAGCTGATTCTATTGTGTGCCAATGTACACAGAAAGGAAAGGAATGTAAAGATGAGTGCATTATTGGAAACTGGCTAAGATTACTAGTTATTGTTTCTTGTTTTGACATGATACTAAACAATTTTAAGGAGCAGAATACATATTACAGTACTTAGTTACAACATTTATAATTGATGTTCTCTAGTTTGATTAATAATTCATTAATTCAGCAAGCACTTATTTAACATTTAACATGTACCAAACACTTTCAGTGTCTAGAAATAAATGATGGAGAACAATTTTCCTTCAGTTTCCAGAAATCATTTAGTAGATTTTAGTGTGCTAAGTGTGGTGATACTCAGAGAACAGGCTGTGAAGGGGACTACTGCAGAGAGTACGTGGTAGATGACAGTAGAACTGAAATTCAAGACAGTGTTGGGCAGATAGTGAGTGGCAGTGGGGCTGAGAACCTTTTGTTCTGCTTCTACTGTTATTTTGCATGAATGTCTAGATTTCAGCTGGTCCATTAGACGCAGAGAAAGGGATTTGCAAGTAGGGGTTATGGCCTCTCAAAATTAGGTTAATAGGTTTTACAGCACTGCCTTGCGTAATAGCTCCCCACACATTTACATAGCTAATTGCAAGTTTTTATGTATATACCAGTTAAAACATGACAAGCTTCTGGGAAGGTGCAACCTTTGAATGTTTTATTCTGTGAACTTGGAGTGATGTTATTGACATTATGATAGCACATGAAAGGTATTTAAGGAATTCTCAAATGCCTTTATGGACCTTTAAAAAATGTGATTGGCAGTTGATTCAGTTTCTATAGGCTTATACCCTCTCATGGGCCAGTGAGATGGCTCATTGGGTAAAGTGCTTGCTGCCTGACAACATAAGCTTGAGGACCTGAGTTTAATCCCTGAAGTCCTGTAAACATGGAAGGAGAGAAAGGATGCCACAAAGTTGTCCTCTGGCCAACAAATGCTGTGACATGAATACCCCCCCATACACATAATAACAACAATGGCAATAATAAATACGGTTTTAAAAAAGAAAACCTTTGACCCAGCACTTGAAAGCACACTTTTAGTGTGAGTTCTCTTTAGTTATAGAGATGAATAATTAAATTACTACAATTAAAATTGACTTAGCCTTTTTGGTAGTGTTTGGTAACTCTTTACCTGTCCATAGTATTAGTTCAAAGCAAAACTAAAGCCTTGCCTTAAAAATATTTAAAGTGGTACTGAGAACATTATTTATGCATGTGATACTATTTGTATAATTGTGAAATTGTTATAAAGTAACTAGACAAAAATGAAAATAAAAATGAAGTACCTTGTCATGTTTTGCCTCTCTGGACTCTTTTGTCTGAAAAAAAATTAATATTTTTTATGAGTATGACTATATTGCCTACATGTATGTAAGTGCACCGTATAATGCAATGTCCATAGAAGTCAGAAGAGGGCATTGAATTCCCCTGAAACTGGAGTTGAAGACAGTTGTTAGCTACCATGTGGGTGCTGGGAATTGAACCCAGGTCCTCTGCAAGAGCAGTCAGTGCTCTTAACCACGGAGCAATCTCTCCAGCCCCACTTTATGAACTTTTTTAAAAAATAATTTATTGAGAATTTCATACATGCATATAATCATAAAAGGTGTTTTGTTCAAATCCATGCCTACTCCCTCCCCTCAATCTCCTCCCATAATCTCCCCATCAATTTTTTCTAATAACTTCATGTACTCTTTCTTTTTTTTTGATACTCTAACATCTCCCC